TTCCATACAAATAATTTCCTCTTAAATAAATAGTACGTTTTTATGGATCCTTAAAAGTGTTTTATTTATAAACTAGCGACCCGCCCCGGCTCCGAACGGGTGCATATATATTTATACATATAAATCTTCCTCTTGAATCATTCTATCTAGTAAAAAAAACCGCAACAAGGTCCGTTGCGTAATTTTAAAAATCTAAGCATGCATAGGGACCGACAGACAGCGGGACGATTTTGTTTTATACTATGTAGTGACATTAATAATAAAACAAACAAAAATTTTAACTAAGCCATTTACTTTTTTACTTTTATGCGCTAAAATGTAAAAAGAAAAAAAATGATTGGGTATTCTTCTACAACTCAATAATCAACTTTCTTTTTCTACTCATCAGTATGTACTATTACTTAAAATTCAATCAAATTATTACGATAATGTAATGTAGTTACATTTATTGTTAGTTTTGGAGTAGATGTCAGTTATGGAAACACTACAATATACCTACAATTTTCACTATTTGCTGGTGTCTTTAAATTGTGGGCTTTTGTAGATAAATGAATCAACAGCTTTCGGCGCTTCGGAATCGTGTTCTGGTTTCGTGCTCAGACGCTTTACCAACTAAATAACCGATGAGCTTACAGCGTATGCACCTGACATCTATGTACGCAATTGAAATAAGGCGGCAATATCTTATATATGCCTAGGGCGACCAACGCCTCCATTCTATCACTGCGGGTACTAACTAGGCTATTCATATAGGCTATTCATACAGATAACTAGATGATTTTATTCTGAAGATAAAATAGACAAAACCTGGTCTCAATACGTCTATTATTTCGAGAGTTATAGTTTTTTTAATAGCCATACAAAATCGTCTTTAATAAAATATGTAATAAATTAAAACTGTTTTCTTGAAATAAATCTACTCATATTCGTATAAGTGCCAATTGGTAGTACTAGACACAGTTGAGCCAAACATTGCTTGACTGACGTGTCGAGTGCACAACCTTAACCGCTTCGCGGTATGAGGCATACCATACTGTGTAAACATGGCTTATAATATTATTAAAAAATTTTACATTTCGAAGAGTCAAGAGTCATTTATCGTCAGCTTTTTTCCTTTTTTTTTGTGCTATAAGTACTTATAATACTAGCATTGCGGTGGCACAAACGGATTTTTTTCTACGGATTATTATTTACTAGCTGCTGCCCGCAACTACGTCTGCGTAGAATAGGCTGCAGACGTAACATTCAGTCAGAGAGACAGATATAATAATAATAATAATAAAATATCTTTATTCACATAGACGCTTGCGCGTTCTTATGAAACGTCAAAATTTTACAAGAAATTAACACGTTCGTAAGTTACCACCGGTTCGGAAAGCAGTTTCTGTTGAGAAGAAACCGGCAAGAAGCTCAACAGTTGCTCTTTTTTTAAAAATCAGTTTACAATATAATAGTACATGTACAATAGTCTTGTTTTAGCCTACGTGAGTATCAACAGTATTAACCCCACACATTGGCGTCGTCAAGATATTCGGCAATAGTATAATAGGCTTTAGCCATAAGTTTACTTTTAATTTTTCGTTTAAATTCATCAAGTGGCAGACTTAATATCCACTGTGGGATTTTATTATACATGCGCACACTTTGCCCCATGAACGACCTGTTTACTTTTTGTAGGCGAAACAATGGCGTAGTTAGTTTGTCCTTTTTTCTAGTATTTAGTTTATGTCTGTCACTATTCTTTAGATAATTTTTGATATTATGTTTAACATACAAAATATTACATTAAATATATTGAGACGCAACAGTGAGTATATTAATCTCTTTAAAAAGATCTCTGAGTGTATTCCGGGCTCCGATGTTATAAATTGCTCGGACAGCTCTTTTTTGAAGAATAAATATTTAATTTATATCAGATGCACTTCCCCACAACAAAATGCCGTACGACAAGATGCTGTGAAAATAACTGAAGTAAACAAGTCTGGCAGTGTCGATGTCTGATAGCTGCCTAACCTTCCTAATTGCAAAAATAGCAGAGCTTAACCTATTCGCAAGAGATGATAGATGGGGACTCCATTGGAGCTTTGAATTTACTGTGATTCCCAAGAATACAGCGGACTCAACAGGATTAAGGGCTACGCTATTCAATTTTAAGCTAAAACTTTGCCTTATTACGTTGGGAAGGGCAAAAAGAAGGCATTTAGTTTTTTTAGCATTTAACACCATATTATTAATGGTAAACCAGTGGGGGTGAGCAAACAGTACAACATCACATAACTCACTGGAATAAAAGGGGAGATCAATTATATATACTAAGAATAATTATGGGCCCAAGATTGATCCTTGTGGGACACCCATTTTCATGGGGGACCCTGCGGAATTTACATCATTTATAGATAATTTTTGAATTCTATTACTAAGGTAAGAGGCAATGAGATTGAGGGCGATGTCACGAATGCCATAATAATCAAGCTTTTGAAGGAGGATTTTGTGATTCACGCAGTCGAAAGCTTTTGAAAGGTCGCAAAAAACACCTATTGCATCTTGCGACCCTTCCCAGGCGTTATAAATATGTTTGACAAGTGCGATACCCGCATCTGTTGTCGATCTGCCTTTAGTGAATCCATATTGCTCATTGTGAAAAATTTTGTTCATATTAAAATGTACTAAGAGCTGATTTAAAATTAGTTTTTCAAAAATTTTACTCAGAGATGGCAATATGGAGATAGGTCTGTAGTTTCCTGGATCATTTTTATCCCCTCTTGTGAAGACGGGGATTATCTTACAAAATTTCATAAAATCTGGAAATATTCCAGAATCTATGCAGTTGTTAAAATATATAAATTATAGTCTAAGTCTTATTCTGATGTATAAGCTATATGATTGTAGTTTCATTAAAATCCATTCAGTAGTATTTGCGTGAAAAGTAACAAACATCCATCCATACACACAAACTTTCGCCTTTTTAATATTAGTAAAGGTTCATGTGTTTAGAAAGTACCAAATCTTTTATACTAGGCTAATGTACCCAGGTTTCTAAGACTTTTGTTTTAAATATTTAAATAGGAAAAAGACCTGTTAAATGTGCATACACAGCGTGTCTTTACAATCGCGACAATAAATGAACACACATATAGAGGGTAACTTTTTAAAATTGTATTATACATTTACATTCTTTAAACATCAATATTTACAGAGTTATTAAATTTTCCAAAACAAAGAATTTTAGAACACCCTTACGTATAAAACTGTAACGTAAAGTTCATTTGTAAAAGTCACAAAGCAAATAAAAATAAAGCAAAAATACGGCTTGCAAATAAATTAATTTTTCATTCTTAAGATTTCGCTTTTCGGTTCTTCATTTATCATCCGTACAGCTAAGGAATGGAATAGCCTGCCGGCGTCGTCTTTCCGTCCGAATACAACGTTGACATCTTCAAGGCAAGAGTGAATAGGTTTCTACTGAGCTAGCAAGAGTTTCAACGGCTGCATCGCCACTTACCATCAGGCGGGATGGCAGTCAAGTGCTGGCCAGTTTTTTAATTAAAATTAAATTTATAAACCCTTTTATGTGATATAATTATAAAAAGTGTTACCAAATCTATGTAAGTCATGATTAGTTTAGAAAATAATTTAAAACATTTTTATATTCATTATTTAATAATATTTTATAAATACCTCCATAAATACATGTTCTATTTACAATGATGATGACTACTCGGACATTGATGCTAAAACGAGCTGAATTGTTTTGGTAGATTCCAATTAAAACATTTCCTTTCACTATTTACTGGTATTGTAATTTATTTACTCATTGTAATCTTGCTAATATTCTCTCATATCTAGGTTTTTTTTTCAATTATATCACATCAAAACACATCTTTAATAATGAATCCCATGACCACTAAAATATAATCAAATTCAAGTGAAAATAGCTTTATTCAATTCAAATAGAAGCATTCTACTTACTTATTAATTGTTACAACATTAGCACCGGTTCGGAAATAAAATATTAAATAAAGTTCAATAAATTATTTTAGTTCGGCAATTTTCAAGAGAGTATGATTTTCCTAGGTACATACATCAGTTTTCAATAAGTTCCCCCACTTTTACTATACAAGATACTTGTATATAAATTTTATTACTAACGGAATTTCACTAAACAAACGTAGGTACATAATTACTTTACCTCACTGTTTATTTTTAACATTACAATACAACGAATGTCTTCTCCGTCTTATTTTAAGTGAACTGTCTCCAATTTGTTACTGTCTGTGATAATAGCTCCAGGCGCATAGGGTAGGGCACTTTATTTTGTTAACCAATTACCTTTATACGAATCAACATCCGTACCTTTATTTTTCTACGTTCAGCAAATTCATGATTCTAATATAAACGTTAATACTATCAATGTTTATTAAAATTAAATATCATGTTGACTTTCTGAAATTCATAGTCACAATTGCCTACTTGTTTATTTGAATTTTTAAGCATTTATCTATATTTTTAGTTACTGGTAACCAAAATGTTTTTGGTTTCTTTTAATATAGACTCAGCGGTCGTCGAGCCTGACACAGGGTTTATAAATCAAAATAAAAGTAGTCGGTTTTCTCACATCAATTTTATTGCTACAAGCCTATTACGCTACTATTTTTGGCATTAAAATATCACATTATTACATATTAACTTACTTGAATAAAAAAGCCTATAAGCGTATGCTAAGATCATAGAATGAATGTGATCACTATGAAATGACACTAACTTGGTAGTAACGGGATATAAAACAGAATTTCATATTTTATATTAGGCCATTTCTATGTTCAATTCATCAGAACCAAATGGGTCTCGACGGCGCAATTTTTGTACCGCATGTACGAGTAAACTTTGCCGACTTTTCGTTCAATGTAACGCATAAATCAGCATTAATCAATGTATACGAAAACCGTTTAAACTTTTAAATATAAAATAATCACAGACTTTTACTTTCGGCGTTACAATCAATGGCGGTTACTACATTGTCTACAGTCTGGGGTGCATGGGTTGCAGGGAGCTGGTGGCGCGTGTGGGTGCTGCAACGGTAGCAGCAGTGGGGTGGAGAGCGTGGGTAGCGCTGGCAGTGGCACCAGCCATTCAGACCCGCAGACCCTGCCCATAACTAGAGCTGGCAGAAGTGGTGCCCGAGGCCCCACCGGTCGGAACGCCGACCATCTCGCGTCGACTTCCTCCGAGCTTGACACGGACGCCTCGTAACTGGCGTTCGATGTTCCGGCACTCGTCGTGATCATATTTTCATGATAACCCTAATAAAACAACACTTTTAAGACTTTAGCCGATTAAATCATAATACCTATAACAATTTCGTTCTATTTATTTAACACCTCGCTTTAGTAGTAAACTGTTTGCCCCGCAGTCTCACGGTTAGATAAATTTTTCGTTTCAGATTCAAGAATATTCAAAGACAAAATTATAATTTATATTTTTTTCAATACAGACTTGTTACAAGCTCTTATTGCACGGTTTACTAATTATAAATATAATAACCAGCAAGAAGTTCTATGGTCTTATTCTCTTATTAAACCGCTTTATCTACGGGTCGGGCGACCTCCGTGTCCCTCGACAGTCGCCCGAAAATCTTCGAGTAGTTGGGACGCGTTGCCACTATGTTTTTTTTATGTGAGAAAATAAGATGAGAGCTAGGGGTTCACCTGACGTTAAGTAATAACCGCAACCCGAAATCCACAGGGTTGCAGAATTATAACACTTCCACTTCAAGCCGGGGTCTTCTGTGAGGTTCGTAATACTACCCCGGATGATTAAATACCAATAGAATTGAGATTAATTGTAAGATCAGGTTCCTCATTTTCCAAAACCTCACAATGCGATAAAATGAGCATGTTGTTTCTTTATTAGTACTAAGTATAATACATTACTAATGGGTGCAGCACTCACATGTATAGCGTTGCAGTGTTCCACGGCTCGCAGTAAGTCGTGATTGCAGCGTCGCAGTACTAACTCCAACACTGACCGCTTCTTACCCGGAAACAATTTCTTAAGCATTTCCAAACCGGCCGTGCTGACTGTACCCTCGGCGTCAGTCGGGTCTTCGTTTCCGATGCTGTATAAAAAGAGATTTGATTGTAGTGTTTCCAAGAGTGACCATTATGTTTAAAAAAACGAGTGTCTTATCACCCTCTAGAAGCCAAAGTAGCATTTCCAGCAGAATCGGGTGAAGTGCTGCAGCAGTCCTGTGTGGAGTCGCTCGTTTCGCTGTCAATGTGTATCGTCTGCAAAAAAATATGTAAATATTTACAAAACTTTTACATTTATATAAAGAGCCATAGACAAAATAGTACCCTTTTCTTCTTTCTGTCTGTCGACCAATTATATTTTATACGTCATTGTAGTAAGTACATATTTAAAAAATTAGTGATACTCAAGAAGGGAACCTATTCCTCATCTTGACAGCCGGCACTACAGTGTCTATCAGGTGTACATACTTCTATACGCGGTAACGTATATCAAATCAATCATATTTAAAGAGATGGCTAAAAACTGTCTAGTTATGGTTTTAAAATAAAACGATAAATAATTACGACATAAATCCAATACTTGTACAATCCAGTGTGTAGGTTATTACATTATTGGCTGGTTAATTCATACAGATGTTGTGATATGACGGGGAAGGAAACACAGAGTGATAGTACGTAGATAAAAAATAATCAAATTTATAAGATATAAAAATACCTTAAATATAAAAAAAAATATCTAAAATGATATATTAAAAAAATGTCATCGGATCGAGAATGAAATCCCTACGAAACCGGCGCCGCATAATTATTTAGTATTTTACATGCCATTACGAGTAGTATTGCTACCTATTGGAGTTCAACCGCCCGATGGCACTTGGCAGCGCCCGAAAGTAAGGTACAGTGAAAAAAGTAATCTGACTAACTTTAGATTCTGGAGTATAATGATAAATCCAAGTCTAATCTATGGCCACGCCTGTCAATAACATCTAGAAGGCATAATCCGTACTTGGGCGTACATACAACTATCGGCGAGCCTGATTATCATATTATTATAATAAAATATTGCTTCTACACAGTCGTTATATGAACGAAGGATTTCGTAACCGCAAAGAACTGGATTCCTAACCGAGTTTCACCTAGTTCAAGTTCTTATACACTTACAGTTTGATCCTCGTGTGCGGAATCCGGTTCAGGCCCGGGACTCGGGCAGGGACCGGTCACTCGCATCCCATAGATGCGGCCTGGTGGCAAAGACTCCAAAGCTGTTCCGCTCTCCACCGACGCTAAATGCAAGGCAATTTTGTCTTCAGCTGCTTGTTGCCTTTTCAATGCCACCTTAAAATATTTCTAAACTTCAGCTCAGAACCACAATAAATACGGCATGTCAATAATTTGAAACATATTTTAAAATGTGTTGTAAATAAAAATCGAATAATGAATATGCATTTGATAAAGCAAGAACGAATAGGGTTTACTATCAGACAGGGCTCTCAAGCATTGACCAGTTTCTTGCGTAAAAGAAATACAGGTGGACGAGCTCACAAAAAGCTTTGCGCTGTCTATAACAAGAATCAAATGTACCAAAAACTTCTGGGTTCTTTCTCAATCAGTTTTGTTTACTCTTTATTTTAAAAATGCGTAGGATTATTAATTGTTGTAACGTAGGTGAGGTAAAAGTAAAGAATGGAAGGAAGATATATAAGATTTTTCAGGGACATAAAGAACCACTCTAATCATCATGGGACCCAGGAGCACACCTGACCCCTAGTGTTGGAGCTGGTCTGTGGCTCCACCACTCACCGCGGTTCGGCCGTGGAGCGTAGCGAGAATGGCACATCACAATACCACTCCTCCTTTGCCCCCACAGCCCCACCATTGCTGAAGTAGTCGTATCGCCAACCGAGTCGCGGAGGATAAGTAAAGTGGTCAAACGCAATATTAACCCGCCTCTTACCTTGCGACTCCAAGATGGTTCACAAAGGGCAGAAAGATTGTGGGCTCATGGCAGAAGCAACTCTTCCAAGTAACCGCTCGCGCGCATACGAAATGGTCTCAATGAGTCTATTCGGAGTGGACCTACCGGACTGGCCTTATACCACAGGCCGGCCCAGTGTGGGTTCCTTTTGGCTTCGTCGGCTACGCCGTGACAAGGCGGGAACCAACAGAGGGATTAGTCCATTATCTACCCTACCCTTTTACAAAAAGTATCTGACATGCATGCGACAAAAGAAGTTTCACGAAGACCGGCAACTATTTAATAGCTCTCAGCCGAAGGCGGTAATCATTTAAGATAAGGGCGATCGACTTGTCTTCATAGACGACTCCAAAGTACTTTCCCTTTAAACTCTCATTAACAACTACGTGAGAATGTAGTTTATTCAATATAATAACGTGTTAAAAATTTGTGTTCCGAAATTACTTAAGGCGTGCGCAAAGGAAAATAAATCGTCCCCCACACTGGACAGTGAACGATAGGTAACCTGATGCTGTTAAACTAATTTAGCGGAAAATCAATGACAAACACGCAGTATTTGTGTTTGCGGTAAGCGGTCACCCTGGGGAGGTCTGCCCGCAGCGTAAGCCCGTCGTTGCCTAATTGAGAAAATAAACAAAACTCGATCTTCACTCTAATCAAATAGATGTTGTACTTGGTCAGAATACTTATGCATTGGCTGTGTATTATAAATAATACACAGACTTTTAGAACCTATAGGAACATAAAAAATTGTAACGGTTATATACAAATTCCAAATTTAAAATAGTCTTATTGAAATCAACCTTTCAATCTAATCCAAAAAACCCAAGATTATACATTTTCAAACTTCGATTTTCCACGTTGTAGCCACAAAATTGAAGTCCATATTAAAAAAAATTCATTTGACAAAAACACAATATTCCTTTGGTGTTTCCACTTTTCAAAGGCAATGTAGGCAGCAGCATGTTAAATTACTTAAAAAAACAGCTAATTTCGATAATTTTTTAATATCAATTCAAAATTCGCTTCCAACTAAAATCGGTAATTGGAGCTCTGGTCACAGTGAATGAAAATGAAGCGAGTGGCTTCCGAATCTCGGATAAAAGTGGTGGGACATCGGGAACGATGCATTACTGTACAAACCGATCGATGTTTCATCCGGCGTCTACGGTAAACACGTGCCACTTGTTCAAATAAACTGAACGCATTAGCTGGTCTCGATTTCACTACATTAAAACACATTAACGCCTTTACATTGCATGTTATTTCTGAAATAGGAAGAAGTATTGGATGGAAATGACTCGGGTGTCTTCTGATAAATAATTGCTGAGGTTTAAATTTTCAACCTTTACCTACAATTACTACTGTGTATGAAAACTGAAAGCGGACAACAAGAATAAAAAAATCTTTTAAATTTATTAAATACTAGCTGTTGCCCGCGACTACGTCCGCGTGGAATAGGGGGAAGGGACAGATATCTATACATATAATAAAAATGTACCTTGTCTTTGTCTGTATATGGAAGACATTTCAGAAAAACTATAATTAAAGATCCCCCCTTTATCAACGCAATAGAACCTAAAACAAACAGACAGACAAAAATTCCAAAAATGCTTTTTATGTTTCCTATAACACTTCTTATGATACCCTTTTTCATTTTAGACCGCTGACCTAATAATAGTTCCGTTTTAATTTAAGGGCAATTCGAGTTTACACGTAAAAGTGACAAATAAGTATGGTCTCCCATAGTTTCGGGTATAAATCATCGCATCTTGGGCCTTTTAATGCAGATGACGCGGAGAACCTGTGAATGAATATGGCGTTGAAGATTACGCTTTTGCCGATATTTGATTGGTCAACATTTGCGTCTTGCTTTAAATCGTCTCTAAGATGAATGTTTCACCAACACCCCGTCTCTGGTGATTAAGACATAAATAATGTAATTCAATCTTTCTGATATCATTTTTGCCAGCATATTGACAATATATTGACTAAAACCGGCCAAGTGCGAATCAGACTCGCATACGAAGGGTATCCGTACCATTCAAATTCAAATATCTTTATTCAATATTACACTTACTTATTGTCAAAAAACACAACTACCGTCAACATTATCTATAAAAACAGCAAAAAATCATATCTATTGTATGGGAGCCCCACTATTTTTAAATTTTTTAGTATGTGTTTTTATAGCGGAGATTGAGATACAGCCTGGTGACAGACGGACGGACGGACGGACGGACGGACGGACGGACAGACGGACAGACAGACAGACAGCGGAGTCTTAGTTATAGGGTGCCATTTTACCCTTTGGGTAATTTCCTGTAATAATGCAATGGATTAAAACAGGCAGCTCTAACCATCAACCTCAATGCATAAAATTGCATGCATGTCAAAGTTTTGTTACGCGCTGTAACTTGCTGAGGAATGGTAGAATTTTTAAGAACCGCCAACGGAATAGCATGTTGTATTGTAATTAAATCTGACAATAGTCTCAGGAACTAAGATTTACATGATATCGCTGAGGCCTTTTCAGGATTTCGTACCCAAAGGGTAAAACGGGACCTTTTTACTACGACTCCGCTGTCTGTCTGTCCGTCTGTCACCAGGCTGTATCTCAAGAACCGTGGTAGTTAGATAGTTAAAATTTGATCTGGGTGTTTATTTCACAAGGAAGGCTGAAGTCAGGCACGCGGCTGGTTGTAAAAATATAGCCAAAACCGCTAACAACATGATTCATGTTGTCCCGACCCCACGTTTTTTTTTGTTAACGTGGGGGAAATGCTTACGCATACCCACCATCGCGGGGGCAAGAGCGGATTGTGTCGGACTCGCACCGACTAAAACCCCCACGATGTTCCACCTAGGCGCATATAAGCAAGGCCACGGGAACGCTTTCGCTCTCTTCCGCAACCCTGCCAGCGCTGGCCGCCTCAGCAGCCCCCTCCCGGAGAGCAACTTTCCTCTCCTGAAGGTAAGGCGCGCTGGAACATTCGGCGCCCTTTCCTACTCGGCCACATTTTTACGACCAATGAACTCCGCCGGGTTCACTGACCTGCGTCATGGGAGCCAGGAAAGCCAGTACTAATAAACAGCAAGCCGCCCAGCCTCCAGCGGCGGTCCTGGTCTGTGGCTCCACCGCTCATCACGTTTCGGCCGCGGAGGGTAGGGAGAATTAAAATTTGGCATGAAATTTGTTTCATAATTTCTATCGCACCAAACGAAGTCATTTCAAAGAGGCTATTGTATTTTCGTAAGTTGGTTAAAAATGTCCAGATAGTGAATGATCATTTGTCAAAAGATTTTTTATTGACTGTTGCGGCTCTTCAATATTGGGAAGACTAACTTTTCCAGAAGCACAGCACATAACCATTTGGTTCATCGGTTCATTTTTAGCAGAACACTTAGAGCAAATCTTTTTATGGCTCCGATTTGGACGGAAGACTGTTGAGCATAATGCATGAAAACTGATCTGTTACTGTGAGCTAAAACTCGATTACGAACTGTAGTCGTTGACGTTTTTTGTCTTTTTCTCTGATCTCGTAGGCGTTGGGAACGTTTAGAGCTCGATTCCCTGGTGTGAGTTTATATAATTCTCATATTTTGCTCTTCAAGCCGCTGCAAACACTCTACTCGACTCTCTCCGACTTGTAAGACGATTGTCAGTTTCCGATGAAGATTCCTCATTGCGACGTATTTTGATGCCTTTGCCTGGGAACTATTTCTAGAAAGATGAGATCTTGATCTTTTGGACATTTTAAAATGATAAAAAAATATAAACTGATCTTGTACTAATTTATTTGCTAACTGGTGAACAGGAATTACCTATATGACTGTGATTGAAAAATTATAAGAACTACTAAGTCAGTCACTAAGCTGTTTGGATAGTTAAATCACAATATACTAACATTTTTAAACTTGTGATCTTTCGAATGAAATTTCCGAATTGAATAATTCAAAAAGTTATATAAAGATATTGAAACAGTCCGAAATATGAAGTAAATTATTTTTATAAGGATAAATACCAAGATACAAATAAAGAGCCTTTTCTAGCGGCGGCATTTCAAATAAAATTTTAAAATAAAAGAATACCCATTGTGGCATAACTATGATAGCTAGACATATGCTGTCGCGACACTTTTTGTAAATAATGATGTGTTCTGCAAAGTCGTAGTACATTATTTTATAACCGCAAACCGCGAGCGAAAAGCTAGTATACAATAAAATATCACTTTAAATACCACATTCATAGTTTTGTCTTCTGGGAAACAATTACTATGGGTCACACAAATAATTGTCCCGTGTGAGAATCGAACCCACGCCAGGCAATGCCTTAACAACTGCGCAATAGTCAGTGATCTAGCGAGTGTTATTCGTGAAATAAACACAATTTTGTCTGAGACACACCCAGTGAGATCGTCACTGGGTGTGTCAGCTTGAATTATGTGCCTTTGTAGAGAAGTTACGTTTATGTGAAGATATGTTGATATGAAGTTGAAAATGGAATCCGCCATTGCACAATTTTACACTGACATTGCGCGGGATTTTATATGCAGAATGGCCCCTTGCAGTAAGCGAACTTAAAAACTCAACCGGCTAATTTGTGGGTTGGTAATTGCTTGCAGTGAGCATAATACGTTCACATAACCAAGATATCATCAAAAAAATTCTTGGTTATGTTTAGGCTTAAAGTTCTCCAAATACTGACCCATCTGGGTGACACACATAAGGGCGCCATTGATTATCATATAGGATGACTTTTTAGTTTAAGGCTACATTTGCTGGGGCGACGGCGCCTCTTCGAGACAATGCATTAGTCATGGGGTTTGATTCCCCTGTACACGCAATTGCACCTGTCCTATTGTGCATGTACGGCGGTGAATAGACGACCACGCAAGGGCGGATCCAGCTTTGGTGCCAGGGGCGGGTCACGTAGTCGTGGTCAATTGATAAGAAGTTATAATTTAATTTTTATAATCATAGATACAAATAAAAAGTAGGTATTTTTAAACGACTTCAAAAAGAAGGAGCTTATCAATTCGGATGTTTACATTTTTTATGTATGTTCGGGCATAACTTCGTCATATATAGGCGGATTTGCAATATTCTTTTTTTGTTCGTAACAATTCGTTGCTTTTTATTGTCATAAATTATACAGGATGGCTTTTATAAAGGTGCCCAAATTCACACAGGAGGTTGAAACTCGGTAGTATAACCGTTTATTGAAATAAAAACAAACATTTTTTTAAATTAAAATTGGCATTCTATTCCCTAAAAAACAGAACTTGTTGACAATGCGGTAGTCATTCATAAATGCGTCGTATACTTTTGAAACGAACTTGTTTGCGTGTTAGTTATGAATGATCGCGCGTAAAATACAAGTTGCCCATAAATCACGCACTTTCTGAGATAAGTTCAAATGAATGTAATTCATTAATTACGAGTGATTTTAAATATTTATCATTTTTTTTATAACTTTATTTATTTCTAGAATTTAATAAAAAAAATGAATACACTTAGAAAAGCCTCCCAATATAGTATTTTTTTATGTATGGTATTGGTAGGCTTACTTATTTTTGAAATTTCTTTTTATTTATTTCTTCGTTACCAGATTTTATGTTGTCGTATTTTTGTGTGGTTGTAATATTTTTCAATTCCTTTACTCCGCACGCTAACTCATAATATATAATCATCCCAAACGAATACTCCTAAAATAGCCGTACACTAAAAATTTCATCGTCCACGTCAAAAAAATGCTCATAAATAACAAAAAAAATATTTATTCAGTCATTCATTCATTCATTCATAATATTCAGCGTTCGTCCATCTAATCCATCTAATCACAGAATCCACATTCATAACAAACGGAACGAACAAACTTTACTTCCCAAAGATGGGGTCGCATACTGACGTCCACTAAACCACCATCTCTCACCACCCGTCAAAAACCGTCCACCCATTGAGACGAATCAAACTCGACGCAGTTGTGTTCCTTAATTACTGAGTTCCTATGGCCACATTCCAGCTCTGTCATCAGACCCTGGTTACTAGATGGTAACTGCATGGCACTAAAGAACTCGTCATGACGAATCAAACGAGCCGAGACACAATAGGGTTGCGTCGTTTGTTTACTGAGTACATATGACTATGTTCCAGCTCCATTAACAGATCAGACCCTGGTAACATCTAAAAATTAAGTACTCGCCAAGACGAATCAAACAAGCCGAAACTCGATGGAGTTCAGTCATTTCATTACAGAGTGATCATAGGAACCTCACAGAATAGACCTCACAGAAGATCGGCGTAAAGTACTTCTGCGTTTTTTCTGGTGAGTGAGGTAGCCAGAGCACACTTTATTGTAAGGAGAAAACGCATCTGCAACCCTATGCATATGTCCACGGACGGCTGAAGATGGAGATCCATCATAAGATCCTGGTTACTGGTTAATTAATTAATTCATTTATTTATCTAAGTGAAAGACAAACTACTCGTCAATACGATTCAAATGTACCCGAACGCGATGAAGCTCTGCTCTGCGTTTCAGCTCAACCGGTAACCGGGAAGTAGATCAAATTTAATTTGCAAGATTTGATGACAAAAATTAAAATCTACTTGGCCAAACTATGGTAAATTTTTATGGGGCAAAATGGCAACTATTCTACATCAAAATAAAGAAGAATCACGTAAATCGGATCATAAATTTCAACGTAATCGGTGTACATACATCGAAAAACAATATACCAATCGAATTGAGAAACTCCAACTTTTGAAGTCGGTTAAAAATATTATATTAATTTAAATTAATATTGAAGGTACTTACATAAAATCTATATTGTGGCAAAAAAATATATAAAAATATTATGTTTAACAATTTTAATTAGTGGTCAACCTAGGTCCTGGACCCAGCCCTGGGGGGGGGTCATGACCCCCATGACCCCCCCCCCTGGATCCGCCCTTGCGACCACGTATTAACCCCGAGTGAAAAACCATTAACAGTTCTGTATATTTTTTAAAGAAAACCATACCTGTGCTGCCATAATCCGCTGCCTCTCCTTGATTAGACCACATTTCGGACACTGGCAATGCCTGTATGCGCAAGCCTTCTTGTGGCCCCGCAAACTGGATATGAGCCCATGGTTTCGACAGCGAGCGCACTTCGGCACGCGTGCTCGACCTCCGTTCATCATCGCTGCCAAATGCTCTAAAACAAAAAGTAATCAGTCTTAATAATTCATTTCACGAAGTGGCACTATTTTATACTGTATTGTTTATCAATTTTTGAGGTTAAAGAAATTTATTCCCAAACAGAAAGTACAATGCCACTTACATGAGAATATTATACAATTATAAAATAAAGTAATGGTCGCCAAACAGTTAACAGCTTTATTTTTCAAACCGAAGGCGAAAGTTATCAATTATGTATTGAGAAAATTGAAATATAAAAAGTGGTTACTTTTTATATGAGTAGGTAGTTTATTGTATAGCTGTGCTCCTTCAAAGGTAATACTTTTTTTTGCGTAATTTGTTCGTACTTTTGTTAAACAAGTCGTAAACAAGTAAGCTAGGACGACGAAGACAGCGTTTCCTTATTTGTGTTTTTGTTACAAATGCTAAGTTAGTATGGATGGATTTATCTATTATTTTCTTAATAAGAATATAAGTATTGTAAATATATAGTTGTTTAATGTTCATTAATTTTGTATCTTTGTAAATTTTAGATGTTGGCTTAATGTACGGGTAACGGAAAAGTAATAAAATTATTTTATTTTGCAATCTTTGAAGTTCCTGTAATTTAGTTTTAACAGTACTACCCCAGATTTCTATGAGATAAAGTAAGTGTGATTTGCCTAGTGAATTATAAATTGTAAAGCGCATTTTTCTAGGTAGACACAGAGAAATATTGCAGAGAGAACCAGTAAGTGCCGAAAGCTTATTTTCACCGTGATCTATTTGTTTGTTCCATGTTGTATAATTGTCTATTAGGCCAAGGTATTTTTCAAGGTTTCTTTTCTGTTCTAAGGAGGAGTTATTAATTGTTAATGGATAATGTAATGGGATAGTTTTATTTTTGATTTAAGATAATGTAGCATGTTTTAGTAGTATTAACTGTGGGTAACTTATATTGGAACCTATCAAACAAAAGTTTTAGGTCATTTTGTGCGCGTGAAATAACATTATAAATGTTGGCTCCAAAATAAAATAAACATGTATCATCTGCATATAATATGATATGACCATGTAACCCTTGTTCTGTTATGTTATTTACATACATATAATAAAAATAGGTGTGGTCCCATTATAAAGCCCTTGTGGCACACTGTGCGTAACCGGTAGTGTACTACTACTTTGGGAATTACCTATCTTGACTAACTGTGATGTATTTGCTAGGTACGATTTAAAACTTTTAAGAGAATTTAATGTAAAGGAATTTTTACCACACTATGGCTTAAGTTGTTAACTTGCCAACTATTATCCTGCGCCATGTTATGCCACACGGGAAAAAAAATGTATGCTCCATAAACTGTCGCGAGATTGAGTCTACTTTGTCTTATTTACATTTATATCCCACGGCGTTCTATTTAAAAATAAAGAAACTAAAGTACCTTTTAGTTCCTACTAAGTTTAAGAATTGTATTTTCTTGTAACTGATGTAAGCGCTTTCAATCCATAAACTATTAAAGATGCAACGCAGACCCCGTGGGCTAGCTATAACCAACGGGTTTGAAAAAACGGCCCTCCATAATGGGTAGGGCCGCGCATGTGCTCATGCGTGCATTAACTAAAGGGAAGAAGTGTTTCTACAAGCCATCGAGGTTCGTCATGGACCGTAAGCGTGACCCCGATGACCGTTGCCACTCTGGAACACGGTTTTGCGATAGATGAAACCTTAACAGTAGAAGTACTGAAAACAATTACATCAGTTAATGAAAGGAAGATGATGAATGATACAACGCGTTCACTGGAACCCGTTGCGTTTATGTTTATGTCTTATTATTCTATATGATTTTGAGGAGTTTCCTAATTTATCTCCGAATTCCAATTTCCGATGCCAATGCAATTAATATGACCACTCGGGAACTAAACCGAAGCCAATACAAAAATAATTTTCAAAATCAAAAATTTTGCATAATTAGAATTTGAGTGAAAAATGATTTTTAAATAAAACATTGTAGGTACATGCCGTTTTCGTAGAATGTACAATCTTTCCATAATACCAAACCACGATACATGTCGAAACGATGAATGCGAGATCGGTATCTTATTCCGACGGGCGATGGATGTAAAGTCATAACAGACATATTGTATGTGAGAGTTTCCTGTTAATTCAGTAAATAATACATTAAACCCCGTTTACTGAACAAATGATCATCGTAGAAATTCTCATCCTTATGACATTTATCAGTGTTTCAGAAACCGGGCATAATAAATCTCATAAATTTAGCTAAGAAAAACACCCCGCTACAGGAAATTTCAACTGCTCTGATATTTTTATATCTTCTTTTCACTAGAGAACAACACTAGTTTTAAGATACATTTATAAAATGTAGTGATAGGTATACAAAATGTATTTATTCAAATTTTTGATTACTGTCAAGCGAGTATACTTGAGCAGGACATTCATTTCTCAAATTACAATTTATGATCAAACATAATATTTAAATTATTAAACTATTAATAAAATGGAATCAAAAATTGAAGAATACAAACATAAAAAATATAACTAGCTTCAAATTTGTTATGTAGTAGGTTATCATTACAAAGTGTTTTTCTTACTTATCTTAAAGTATTAAAGACAGTGTATAAATACCGTGAAATTGACACCACTCGCTTGCAAGCTTATTAGAAAACACTAGCACACATAACGTTCCAATACACAAATATCTTCTCTGACATCCGCCCACATGACCCACTGCCTTGAAACTAATACCCGCGAAAAAATCGAGTGATTCTCACAAAACACTAAGCTAAGAGGCGTTGCAACAAGCGCAGTATTCTGTATCACATTAAAGCTTAAACATAAACCACACGCTCTATGAAATAGAGTCAAAGATTCCCATCTTGTGAAACGTCCGCAGCGTCCCCTATCCCGTCCGCCCTCGGGATTAAATCCGTCCAATAGCAGACAAGTACTCTCCCGATTGGTTACAACGGGAATAGGAAATATCGGAAGTTTTTCCTCTTGGCTTCTGTTTCATAAAACAAGCAACAATGTATACTTTATATAGACAGATGAAACGTCTCTCCTCAGGCGCATTTGTGAAAGCTTTAAATGTTATGAAGTTACTTTAACTTCATATCATAAACACGTTACAAATTCTGTGCCAAGATTTGTTTGATAGAATTTTTACAAGATTATAGCTGTGTCGATAGTTATCGTTGTAGTGGGTACCGCTGTACTTACATTTGTACAAATAATACTTTCATAAGGTCAGTATAGCGTTGAAAAGTTTGCCATAAAAAGTGGTGGAATTAGGTTCGCTGGAACCCTAGGTCTAGGTCATTTGAATTTCCTTCAACGCTTGCTAGATAAGTTCTTTTTGATCTTTGTTAGATAAGTTTAAATTAAGAATTTGCTTGATTAAAATATTGACTTATTAAAACTGTAAAGGGAGAAGAAGAAGCAATAAAATTCGGCCTCAGTATTCGATCAGTAAATAAAAAACAAAAACTATTTAAAATATTAGCTATGTTAAAAATTTTGGCGCCCCTATAAATTTAGTCACCACAGGATCGGGCCTTAAAAGCCTACGCCTAAATCAGCCACAGCTTGAAAATTAAAAAAGAATGTGACTTGGTGCCTAGAGCCACTCCCACGATCGAATTGTTGCAGTTTTGAAACCCAGTAGTTCCGAGACGTATACGACCTATATATCCATTTTCTTATATAAAAAGGATTGGCCTAATATTGAGTGATTATCGCTACCACCGGGCTGCAGGTGCATGTTCAACTTTTAAAAGAGCTGGCATTGGTTAGGTCACTCACAGAAAGAAACGCAGAATTATATTGATTAATTATACTTAAATTTCAGAGTAGTCTTCTGTGAGGCCGTGATAAAGAGGCCGAATTTTAAAGAAGAATAGGATCATTTCTTTTTTTCGTGACCAACCTATTCACCGTAGGTTGAGTACCTAATTACATCACCTATGAACTGTAGAGGCGTTGCCAAACATTAAAGAAACTTATTGAAGATCCCGCTATATACACGACCGATTAATCTGTGGTAATTTGTCGGGATCTACGTTGGTTAAATTCCGGAAAAAAGATCCGGACAACTATTAAGGACACATCCCATACATCAAAATACAAAGAGATCAACAACATTTCTGTAAGCTTATAGGTGAATATTGTAAAAAAATTTTCGAACGGGAATCGTTTCAAAACTGCCGAGGTCTCCCCGCTGCGGCTCATCCACGACTTCAGTACAGTTTCGTATTCCTGACAAATGTTTGCCCAGCCGGTATATAATGCGTCACAGGCGGATTTAATAACAGGCTAAGTAGGCTAGAGCCTATATTTTCAATTTAGGGTGCGACAAATTAGCCCCAAAAACTTTTGTTTTACAGAAATAAAGAAAATCATCATTACATATATACACAGCCCCCGATCTGGGGGGAGGGGGGGCAGACGAATGGACAACTCATAACTTACTCAACTTTTCCCTAACAACTCGACCGATCGACCCAGAGCGCGGAGTGAGACGTGCTGTACGAATATTATTGTTCGCGAAGCGCTGTCTATCTCTTGCAACAAATCTATGGGTACGATTTGCAGGATGCTTTTCCTAATATTAAGTCCTTACATATGAAATTAGCGTTTTGTCATACTGACCACTTTGATCTGAAATATCTCCTTTTTGGTGAAGACTTCTAAATTCAAATTTGTAAATTCTTTACATACCGCACAGTGGAAAACATGAAAAATATCGGTATATTTACGAGTACGAGTACTACCGTAGCACCTGTGCTGCAGAAACAGCTGTGACAACGCAAGACCACAGACTTCACAACAAACAACCACTAAGTAAGATGAGCTACAATTAGAATGTCTGCATCCACCGTACTCCCCGGACCTTGCTTCAACAGATTACCATTTTTTCCGGAATTTGAACAACTTCTTACAAAGGAAAAAATTCAACTCCGATGCGGCAGTCCAAACCGCCTTCAAAGAGTTTATTGATTCTCGCCC